CTGGTGGTGGTACAGGTAACATGGGCAGGAGGTGGCGCGTCAGGTAAGGGACCCAGTACATGTTACGCTTCATTAAGCTTCAATACTTGTAAAGGAAGCAGCATCTCATAGGGTCGCCCAAGACTTGAAACTTTCCCCTTAACTAACGAGCTAAAGAACATGTCTAAATGACTCGCTTCAGCCACATCACAAAGAAGACAAGACTATATGTTGTCGAAATTTGCCCCGAGAACTTCAGAAAATAAAGAGTTTACATATGTCGACTTGTGCCTTGTGATCTATGGAAAAAACTAATGGCTCTTAACATCAGTCTTATACCTCCCTGCTACAACACTATGATCCGACATAAAAGGTAAACATATAAAACGGACAATATTAAAAATGATACCACGAACCGGACCGATAAGCCATTAATTAGTTTTTGAGTCGACATTAACCAAGCCAGCTACGTAAAAAATTAACCCAAACTAAGCTTGGATCATTAGTGTAGGTTAAGTTAGGTTAGAATAGTTTCAGGTCATCAACTACAAGAAAAAGATCAACGGTGTTTATACATTTTTATGAATCTCATCCACCGAATATTGTTTTATATGACGCTTTTCTACTGCCCAAAACGCGTTACAACTAATGCCTAGTTTGTCTTTGTTTAGCGGATGTGTCTAGAGTTAATTTACTCCCACACGTATTAAATAAATGATGATGACTTGGCTTACCACTTCCTGATAATTCCCGGCAATAAACTGGTCACTGAAGTCATTAACATTCATAAATAACAAAAAAACATTAGTTCAACCTTACCTTTCATTAGTTGATTTAGCCAGGTAGGTCCAAACGATGAAACGATATAAGAACTACAGAGAATGACATGTCACGGTGGGTGCAAGGTATATATACAGTACTCGTAAGTTGTAGCATTATACTCAGACAGGAATACACTCTGACAACATGCATAACGACAGCTGAGGAGAGTAGTTTTAAATCTCACGCTAAGATGGCGCTGTAGTTGATGTGTAGCAAGTCAGTGAACTTTATTCGTTCACTGTACTCCTCATTACCTTACTGAACTTATTATACTGAAGAGTTTCTAAGTAGAGATAAGCCATAAGAGCATTGAGCGGGGAGCCCATGGCCACACTTTAGACATGATGACCTCTTCCTGAACTTGAGCTTCTCCTAAAGTTATAAACATTATTATATGATTTAGGTTAGATTAGGTAGTATGATATTTCCTAAAGTTCCCAGACTCGCTGAGTATCAACAACAGTCCTTGTGGTTTAACGCCCAGGAAATACAAGATTACTTTTGTAAATTAAAGGACCTGCCTATAAATAATCACCTGATACCTTTGTCGGCTAAACTTGGTCAAGTTGCCTTACTGTTTACCAATGTTGTTTACCTGCACTGTCTCGACACACAGGAAACTGTATACTTAAGTTGTTTATATTCAAGCCAAACTACATGCCTGCATAGTTTATAAATATGCTAACCCAACTGTATACCTATACGACAATTTTACTGAATAAATACCACTTTTATTATAACCACGAGGGAAGGTCAACACTATATACCTAGATATTATAGTTACCCAAAGAAAGTGTTACATTTTCTTCAAAACAAAATATTTAGAGCATGAAAATATTTTAACTACTAACTAAAGTAAATAATATCCTAAACATACTTCCTATAGTTTAGGTTCTGCAAGGGCGGATTCAGAGGGGGTCCTGGAGGTCCGGACACCTCTCATTTTCATCAGAAAATTCCAATACTTTTTAATTAATGCAGTATTGTTCTCAGGCATTATTGTATAGTAAAAAATAATAACTATTGACTTGAGAATATCTCCTAAAGTCAAGTGCGCATGGCTTCAAAATGCCCATGATATTGGTCAGATTAAAAAAAAAATATATATGGGGGGGGGGGAACTTACAGCCCCCCCCCCCAAAAAAAAAAGCTGGGTAAAGCTGGGTGGGCTCCCTGCGGTCGCCATGTTCTCCCATCCACAACTTCTTGGATCTCCCTCTTGATATTCCTGGATCCTCCCCTGTTTTGCGTGTGACTTTCTTGGGTTCTTCTTGGTCAATTGGACTTATTGTTTACCATTGTTTAAATACCTGTCCATTGTATACACACGATGAACCACTTTAAAGATGTATAATGATTTTACTGTATATATATCTATCTACCAATCAATCAATCTATCTCTCTGATTTATCTACTTTAATTTAACTAATCTATCAATCAATGAATAGATCAATCAACTACTAAATCTATTTATCTATCTATCCATCCATTCGTCCAGGTAATGAGATGGAAAATAAAACAATATGTTACCATGTTTTTAATTTACTGTTTATTATATACAATACTAATCATATGGATAAATGGCATACAAAAGATTTTTCCTTAATAGTTAGATCACCATCCAGAGGTTGAGTCTGATACACTTGGGTTATAACAACAAATCAGTAAAGTCTACCAGCACTCTGCTCCTTCCTGGACGTAATACTTCATCCAAAAAGTATATTTACGACTTTGTGAAACAATATGACACAACGGACGTTGGATTTTGACAAACCTTTCGAGACAACAGGAGTCACAGTGTTCATTTTGAATTCATCGATCACCACTTTTTTGGAGAGAGTGTTACAGTGTGTGTGTGTGAGTTAGGGATTCAATTGCTTTCCTTATATCGTCTATATTTCTCAGTCAACATTTCTATTACAGTATTAGCTGTTGGTACTTCCTTCGTCAGTAGTTTTAACTTAACCTTTTTCTTATGCTCTTATTCTCTGCCGATACATCGCTTGTTATACGTGTAAATAATGTAACAATTTATCCCACACATTAAATTAACCCATTTCATCTGATATTTCATTCTTCAATAAATATTTCCATTATGTTTTTATTTTTTCATCTAGTATTATATTGGATCAGTATGGTTACTTTATATTCACTTCCCTTACAACGGGTTGAAATAGAACTGCTTGAATCTATAGTTCTGTTCCTCCGGGGTGGTTCCAGCCTTTGACTGCATGTTCTTACACAGTTCGAGGTAGAGGTCACTTAGCTCACTGTCATGGGCGTGATTAGCCAGGACGTCACACAGCGCCTGCACAAATACAGTACCTCTCCCCGGATCTCTCAACGCACGGAAGTTGTTGATGCTGGCGTAAATGGTCTTCATATCTTGAGGAGCATTAGTGATTTGGGATGTGATGGAATCTGTCTGCAAGGACCGTGATTCCTCCTGCGTCTCTCCGCGGCAGAAGTTCGCCAGGAATATCTTGGGTTTGTTCCTCAGGTTGGGACACGAGCCGTCAACGAAGTGGTAACGCACATCATCCAGACTTAGCTTCTCTGTTAGCTCGATGCCGTTGGTACAAAACATCAAGTCTTTTACGCCGTGACTAAGAACAATCAAGATGAAGGAGTCGTAGATTGCAAGATCTTTGTCCTGCTGAATGTTCTTCAGTTGATCTAGTGTCCCTTGTTTGGTGAGGTCCTCGTACAGGTAAACTCGGTAACCCATCCTAGTAAATAAGGTTTTGAGGTTGTGTGAGTCAGTCCTCGCTCCCAACCGCGTGTTTTGGCCAGAAAAATGGTAATTGAAGATACAAACCAGACCCCGGGGCGTACTGAGGTTCCGGTAGACTTTCTCAGACGGTGGTATGGGACTCGCGCACGACTTCACAGTCCACGGAAATGGCAACACACCGTCAATCTGCAGGCAAGAAAATTTTCTTGGATGATCATCTCAAGTACTTGTGATGCATACATATGAATAAATCGACGTAACTTTCAATTTTGAAGAAATGGTGTTGATTGTGGCCAGATGTAAAGGTCAAGTCTGAGAGCTCCAGGCAGAGGGAGTAGTGTATAGGGTGGTGTGTGTGTGGGAAGGATCGGGGTAAGAGGTAGGGAGGGATACATTATAAAGCGAGGAATTAAATCCAATGGAAAAAAACATGAAATATTCCTAGGGGTACACAATGCAGCCGAAGAGACAAAGACAATTTGAGTCAATCCGACAACCATTGTTGCTAAAACTTAGTGTTGAGACAAAGGTAAAGATAAAGACTTAGAGACTGCTGATGAGCGAGCACAGCGCCTCACCTATGACGATGAACAATGTCAGAGATACCGAAGTAACACATCCAGGAAAGTGTTTCTCCATGAACAATGACTTGAAAATATTCAGGTACAAAAAACATTAATTAAGACTCGTTATATGGCAGTTACACCCACCCGCGCCTTCTAACCTTGAGTCAACCCAGAGTGTATGTGAATGTTGTCGTAGCTTCTGTCAGCGTAACTCTGGCGTATTTAATCAAAGGTTCTGCACATTTATTCTTCAAAAAATCTTTCCTAAACATAATTTCATCCCCCAAATTTTTCATTTTACTTGCCATGTTTATGATGTTCCTTTAGGATTGTCTCATCCGTCAAGAGGCTCCTCAGCCTACAGGAGCCAGGAAGGCATAGCAGGTGGCGGGACGCTGACACGAGGTAAATACACACAGTCTTGGGCGTTTCTTACACTAATGAGTTTTCTTGAGAATTTCATAACGGAACCTTACCACACTTTACCCACGCGGGTGGAGTTAGGGGGAAATAAACTATTAGTTTAATTTAGTTTAATTTTCTCCTCAGATTTAGAGCCATCTTAATTGAGTGAGTTTATAGCGGTTATCTTGTTTCGCAATGTGTTTACTTTAGTATTTCCTGTTAAGGTAAAGGTAATGATCCTTTCAATCCAGTATTACCAACAACACCTTCCAATGGTGACAGGATGTATCAGTCCCCTGGGCACAGCAGGTGAAAGGATGCCGCTGACCTACAGAGTTAACGAAAGACACTGATCACTGGAGTTGGTCAACACCAAACTGATTAACTTTGGGTACTCGTCTCCACCTTTCCACTGTATACAAGAGGCGGTTTGTTAGGCAGTCAAAATATAGTGTTTGGCGGGCATACTCTTGTTATGTGAGAGAGGTTGCGGCGGCACACACCAGAGGAGGATTTTTTCTACATACGATAATTTCCTGATATCTTGGTAAAGGTTTCATATGTTTGCACACCGCAGGTGATGGTGGGGACCCCAGACTGAGCTTCCGTCTGTGTACCTCGACTATGATACACCTTTGAGGGTTTCCACTTCCTGTTGCGTTCTTGAGCGCAGAAGACAACTGCTTGTCCATCGTCTTCACCGAGTATCACTGAGGTGTAGACTTGGGTATTTTGTGGTGAATTTGGCGTTAGATTTATAATGGGAACTTTTGAAAGTGTTCTCAGCTTCTCGTGTACTTCGCCTCGTTGTGATGTTAGAGGGCAATTATCAGTGTCTGAGGACAGGCGTGGCTGTGGGACGCTAGAGAGGTCAGCTGCAGAGCTATTAAGTCCATTAGCGGCAGGTGGTCTATCTCGCTCGTCTGCTGGCTCACAGGTGTCCTCCTTCAGGTGATAGGGACGACTATCACCTTGTCCTGGTGTGAATAGCTTGCAGGACTCCCTGACCACCGTCTTACACCTGCCATTAGCCTCTCTGACCATGTAGCCAGACTCGACCTCTGCCTGTACTGTGTAAGGCCCATCCCAGGAGACAGCTGAGACCTTGTGCATTCCTCTGGGTAGGTCAAGAAGGACCTGCTGGCCCGGTTGGAAGGGCAGATAGGGGTGACTAATCCTCAATATGGCGGGCACCTTACCACAACTTGCTTGCTGGTGATCTTGCACTTCGGCTTCTGGGTCTGCCAGATCCGTCTGTGGGAGGTAGAGGTAGACCACTGTCAAATGGAGTCGGAAGACCGCAGGTTAAGTGTGAAGGAGAGTCTTTTCCTCAAGTTTAGGGAGGGCGAATCCAGGAATATAAAAAAGGGGGGGGGGGCATGGCGAGCACAACGAGCCCACTTAGCTGTTTAGCTGTTTTTTTCCTTTTGTGTGTGGGTGGAGGAGAGGTGCTGTAAGCCCCCAGATTTTTTTTTTAAATCTGACCAATATCATGGGCATTTTGAGGCCATTTTGAATTCATGAGCATTTGATATTAGTAAATATTCTGAAGTCAATAGTAATTACTTTTTACTATACACAAATGGCTGAGTACAATACTGCATTAATGAAAAAAGTATTGGAATTTTCTGATCAAAAGGGGAGACCCGGATCACCAGGACCCCCACCTGGATCAGCCCCTAATATAAGAAACTAGAGCATGCCAGAGTTTCTTAGAGAGAGAGAGGGGGGTTATCCTGTTACTGAGCTGCGACTCTGTAGATGGAAGGAAGAAACAAGTGGGTGGATACCTCACGCCTCCATGCCCCATCAGAGTGGTAGTGGGCAGAATGAGGTGCGCGAGTGTCCGCACACATTACACAACACGTCACTTGACAGCTGCCAACCCTCATGAGGGCACTTGTATACTCATGTTTAATAATACTGTAAAGTTTACTTTAATATAATAAGATAAATATTTTCCAACATTTATTACTGAATGGATTAATGTCAAAAGCTTTTCATGGAGAGCCACAACCTGGAGACGGCGTAAGCCAAGTCCTAAATTATGGTCAGGACTTCAGCATCACTACGATAGTCTTAGACCGTCAGCTGAGAACGATATTTGATCACTGAACGTCGAGAGTTTGGTGGATAATACTGTCGATCATGTTTTAACTCCATCACAGGCAGGTGACTGCCAGGCGTTCGTCTGGCGTAATAAGTTCCACTAGTTTGTCTTATTTGTTGTGTTTGGTAGAGGGGACTGCCAGACAATGCTTAATATTCGTGCAGGTACAGTACTATGTCTTATGATGCATACATGATCCTCCAAGATTCGATATATGTTACTAAACGTTTCCAAATTACAGTGGAGAAAATCATCTCCTTAACTGTAGGTATAAACTGCCTCACGCCAGCCAACAACACCGACGCCTCTCCACTCAGGCCTGTCTACACCAACGCTTTATCATGATCGATTTGCTTCCAGAGACAAGAAGAGAATATAGGCAGCCATGTTAAGTTAAGGAGGTCGAGAGTGAAATCTTTCTTCTTGTAGTCTGTAATGTTACTGTCAGACTCAAATTCAGGACTTACTTAAGAGTCCATTCTGTTCCTTCGGTCATATTAGTGATGTGTACAAGTTGAGGTGGTCCCATAGCCCTTGATCTACCACGAGGGTTATGGTGGCTGTTGACCCCTAGTTCTTGGTCATTGCTTAAGTCATGGATGAGTACCAGTGACCATGCTTCTTACAGCTATGTCCTGAATGGCTTGGGGTGTTTACATGGTGAGTCTTGAGGCTGAGTTAATGCTATATGTAGGTTAGTTATCAGACATTTGAGGTCTCACTTTTACCTTATATATATATATATATATATATATATATATATATATATATATATATATATATATATATATATATATATATATATATATATATATATATATATATATATATATATATATATATATATACATTTTTACACCTGTATACAGGGTGATTGAGCGAAGAGTACATTAAATAGGAGGATGAAATCCTTGGATAATTCTAAACCACAACGTCTCTATGGTAAAATGTCAGATTCTTCACAGTTTCCATGTTACAATACATTTAAGATGATGTATTAATGAAAGTGAATTTGATGTGAAACCCCCGTAGGATTTTGTAATAATTTCTTCACAGATGTCTTATGTGCAGCAGTAGTGTGATACAGGTGGCTGACACAGGTGCCATGAGGCAGGGACCGAATGAGACAAAGGCAGTTACAGGGGGGGGAGTTTTACTCTGGTTCACAAAGTTCATCACTTGTCATCCTCCTAGCCGTGAGTAATCTCTTTTCACCGACTAATGATCACGTAGTCCTCTGATACACGACAACAGACGAAGACATAAACATTATACAATAATTTTTTTTGGTGGAAGGGGGTGTGGGGGGTGGGGGGGGGCAAATACAGATTGTAAATAAGACGTAGAGGTGTAACTATGATGGACATTATCAGGGCGGATCCAGGAATATCAAAAGGAGGGTCCAAGAAGTTTTGGGTTGGGGAACATGGCGAGCAAAACGAGCCCACAGTGGGGTCTCTGTAAGTCTACCCCCCCCCCTTCCTCCCCTGATTTTTTTTAATCTGACCAATATGGCCATTTTGGGGCCTATTTTGAAGCCATGTGCATTTGATATTAGGAGACATTCTGAGGTCAATAGTAATTACTTTTTACTATTAAAAAACTCCTGAATACAATACTGCATTTAAGATAAAGCATTGGAATTTTCTGGTGAAAGCGGTGGTCCGGGACCCCAGGACCCCCTGGATCCGCCCTTGAATATGTGACTTTAATTCAATTGATAAGCATCGTGTTTTATATTTTATATTAATGGGATTATGTTAGTTTAATCTTTATATTGAAGTTAAGCTGGACAATTCAGTTAACAAATATATATTTAATACAGTCATGAAATGACTCCCTATAGTTACCGTCAAGGAATAATATTTACGTTATCCCAATTTCGTCCTTTTTAATTTTACTATTAAAGAAAATGTAAACCTTTTATTACTAACTATTTTATTCTGACCATAATCTAAATAAGTTATATTTTCACGCTATATTATAGGTAATACAGTGAGCTATGGTAATATTGATACATAAATGGTATTTGAAGGATATATAATGCGATATATTCTGTCTATGATGAAAAATAATTCTCTGACGTGGCCACTAGACGGCTGGCACTAGAGACTGACCTGTTCCACTCGCTGAATGTAATGGTCTAACATCCTCCTGTGCTGGATTATCAGAACACCAAGTAAAATACAAGGATAAAAGTGATGTAGAAATCATAAATGAAAACATAAGTTTCTCAAGAGTCTAAGGTAGGTATTTTGTCCTGGTTGTGGTATATTTGTAAGTGTTGCTCTGTCCTCACCTCAAGTCCTTGCACTAAGACCTCCTCAAACTCAAGTACTTTAACAAAACAACTTCACCAGCAGTCGAGTCGATAGAACCTTTGTCTGACCGCCATGGTCACAATAGCATGACTAGTCTGTTCAACACTTAATTATTCATATTATGCTACACCGCCCACAAAATTTGTGAAACTGTTGAAGTTCCTAGTTGAGACATCCATGCTCTAACCGCTTCAGGAGGCCTGAGCCCTCCGTTTTCTCTTGAGTATGGACGCAGGAGCTGATATTTCTTGATACCTCACATTGTGTTCACAGATTTGAGATTGAGAGAGAACACAATTATATTACTTTACATGAGATATGTATGAGCACAGATGAAACATTCAAGATCCCTTGTGAGTGATGTTGAAAACTTCAACGGTGTTTACTGTTAGTGAAAGTGTCCATATAAGTCAGTGTAGAGTCTACTGTAAGAAATGACGTATCATGACATCGTCCCTAGGGATACCCTGAGTCTCCAGATTGCTAATGAAATTAGATTATTTTGATTCCCAGTCATCAAAGGATCTGATGTTTGTATTGAAATTGTTATCGGTTTTGTATTTAGAAAGTAATTAATATTCCTGAAGGGATATGTCAGCCTTCTTACCTTCAAGATCTAACGGCGAGCTCGCTGCGTCCCTCTGTTGTAAGCCCAGACCTTACTCTAAGACACGCATCCTCTCTGAACACATATAGGCCAAGGGTCGTTGTATACCAGGACGACATCCACGACTAGCATGGAGGTTGATGAAGGCCATTGAGATTGGATAGCGTCGTGTAACAAGTTGTAGGGTGAAATGAGTCATATCACGTACAGCCAGTCGCTAGGAGGAGGTGGCTAGACTGTGTTCGCTGTCCACCAGTAATCTCACGTGAGGATAAAACACGGCCAGCTCATACCATTGTTTTGAGTCCACCACTAAGTAAAGTTACATATTGGTTGTGTTATTCCCCCGAGTATCCATGTATGTAATCTCCTCAGTGGTAGGTGTGTTTGGAGGCAGCAAGAGTATGATGGTCGCCACCTTACTTCTTGGGGAATGTAGAAAAGTAGCGGAGAGAAGCTACTAGTCCTGGTGCTGTTAAGGTATTGGTTTTGATGCTATTACCAGAGTCCCGTTACTAATTAAGAGCTACAGTTCTCAGTTAACCTGTACTGATGGTGCTAAGGTGTGCTATATATAAGATTATAGTGTCGTGCGTTCTTTTAAATGTGTACCAAAGTAATGGAATAAGTTGGTAAATGTACCTTGTTGTAAGTACCAAAATAAGTGGAGTCATGGAGTTGATCCTTGCAGTTTTGTGTTACTGAAAGTGTTGTATGGTGGGGGTATCATTCTCGTGCAGTATTTACCTTCATTCATCCTCCATAACGCGATACCAGAATAATACCCAGTGCCCTAGCCCTCGAGCCATGCTACCACAGGTCAGAGGTTAAGGAGTAACTATGAGCAGTATAATAAATAAGACACAGCTAACATATGGAATTAATAAAGTAAAAAATTGAGAGAAAAAATGTTGAAGAGTTAAGACAGAAAGAAAAATAGTTGTTTAAAAATAGTGAGACAGAAAAGAAATTAAAGCAAAATACAAAAGGAGAAAGATACTACCCTATAAAATGGTACCAACAAAACTCTCAACCATACTTGACCATCTCCCCTCACACCGGTATCATAAATCCAGCGCCAGCACGAGCAGTCAACACCGCCAGGCATTCCTCTTCGCCCATCAATGATATTTTTAAGGAATCTAAGACTGACTGGAGATTCGCCAGACTTTTACGAGCACTGGGTGTAATTAGCAAAGTCTTCCCACCAATTATTTCTAAACATATCAAGGATTTAAGGTGTGTGTGTGTGTGTGTGTGTGTGTGTGTGTGTGTGTGTGTGTGTGTGTGTGTGTGTGTGTGTGTGTGTGTGTGTGTGTGTGTGTGTGTGTGAGTGTGTGTAGAGTTGGCTCTGCTGACGATCAATTTGGCATCTGAGGACTTTTAAAGATACACAAAATTACAAATTTCTTACTGGTAAGCTGAACTGGTCGATCCGTCTCACCTGGTTAGTGGTAGGGGGAGGATGATCCGCATTTGGGCTGTTGATCAACATGCGTGAGTCAGGTGTTAGCTGAGGGAGTGAGAGGTAATCTTAGCTTCTTTTTCCAACATTAAAAAAAATAATACTTTATATTATAGTACAGTGTGGAAACTATTGGGCCCCCCTCTCTCTGCTTGTCACCTCTTTGTCTCTCTGTCTCTTTCTCTCAGGTGTACTTGTATATTAACTAAAGCTTTCTATCTGTCTATTTATCCCTATCTGTCTCTCCTTCCTACCTAAGCCCTCCCCCTAATACTTCCCACCGCATGCATACTCACAGTTAGGGCTCCAATATCCGGCAGGTGTTGATGCTGCAGGGCCACCTTCTGGGCCTTCTTGTGTCTAGTGCCCTTGATATGTTGGTTCAAGGGTGCGTCACCTGTCAGTGGCACCTGGCAGAGGTTGCAGAAGTAGGACATCTCATTCTCTCTCACTATCCCCGAACTGATGGCTTCTCTCGCCTCGGGGGTCAGGATCTCCGAACTCACCAAGTCGGATACAACCCTCGAGGGCAGATGACCACCGCTGGCTGCCTGAGTGTAGATAAATCAGGGTAACACTGAGGAGATCTTGTGAATAGTGTCTGTTATGCACTTTCTCTTTCCTCTCGCTCTTTTAAGGTATTCAAGTAAGCATTAGCGACATAATAAGACACATCTAACAAATGACACAATGGAACTTCTGCCTCACACCAACAAGGAGAGTCACAGTCATAAGAGTTGATGTAACTAGAGAAACATTATGGTCGTCAAAAATGTATGAAAACAACAAACAGCTTCTTGAAACTTATGATGTAGATTATATTAGTGATTTGAACGTAAGATTAAGCGGCTAGAGAAGGATATTTGTGACTTACGGTTTGTTGGAGGACTGAAGAAGGCTGTGGGGATGTGTAGGTGGGCTGTAGGGATGTGTAGGTGGGCTGTAGGGATGTGTTGCTGGTCTGTGGTGTGTAGGAGGGCTGTGATAGTGTGTAATTGGGCTGTGCTGGTGTGTAGCTAGCCTGTGTTGGTGTGTTGCTGGTCTGTGGTGTGTAGGGCTGTGGTGTGTAGGTGGGCTGTGGTGTGTGGGAGGGCTGTGGTGTGTAGGTGGGCTGTGGTGTGTGGGAGGGCTGTGGTGTGTAGGTGGGCTGTGGTGTGTAGTAACTGGGGTGTGGTGATGTGTAGCTAGGCTGTGGTGGTATGTGGTTGGAGTGTGATGGTGTGTGGCTGGGGTGTGTTGGTGCGTTGTTAGGCTGTGTTGGTTCGATGTTTGGGTGTGGTACATTAGGTGGCTTGGAAACACCAGGATCTTTATCTGGCAGAGTAGACAGAAATTTGTTGCTCTCCTTTTCTTTCTTATGTGGTTGTCCTCTCAGGTGAGCTTCAAGAGGAGCCAACCCGTTAAATGGTTTCTTTCCTACACAGATTTTACACTGATACGAAAAATGACTTTTATCAACAGTCGTCACTTCGTTGTTGAGTTTTGCTTCGCGGACGACATCAGAAAGATGACTGAGGGAGAACTCCAAGTGCAGGGTGCCTTTCACAGCCTCCCATATAAGACTGTTCTTGTGTTCTTTACTTTTGAGATGAATGAGGATTTCCCCGGTCCCCGTCCTGGGGCACACCACACAATGGTACTGAAGGCTGGTCGGGTCATAGTTTGTGATGACGCCCTCTCTTATGGCTGCCGCTATCAGCTGTAACAACAATATGAGATTATTAATACATTATTTACTTCTTGTGTGTTATTATCGTCATGATTAATCTACTGTTTGGCGAATTATTTGGCAGCATCTGTGTACCTGTCAACACGTTTGCTTGTGTGTTTGTAAGATGACTCATTTAAAGGGGTGTTTGATAGTTCTGGTACTAAACACGTCACCCTGGATCTAGATGAACTCACAGTGTTCTAGTCAGGTCACGTCACAGCTTTAAGGTCAAAGTCGTGAAAAATGAGAATGATAAACTCTCGTCCACAGTTCGAGGCTACAACAAGTTCATTGGCTGAGGAGGAATGTCAGGAAAAATATGAGACGTTCCGAAAAAATCACACTTATATTTATTTATTTATTTTTGTTAACAGGAGAGAACACGATAAGTTACAAGCTTCATCTCTAAATAATCACTATACCACAACATATCAGCCGATGGAGATATATCCTATCTCTCTTACCTCTCGTTCTATCTCTCTTATCTCTCGTTCTATCTCTCTTATCTCTCTTATCACTCGTTCTATCTCTCTTATCTCTCGTTCTATCTCTCTTACCTCTCGTTCTATCTCTCTTACCTCTCGTTCTATCTCTCTTATCTCTCGTTCTATCTCTCTTACCTCTCGTTCTATCTCTCTTACCTCTCGTTCTATCTCTCTTATCTCTCGTTCTATCTCTCTTACCTCTTGTTCTATCTCTCTTATCTCTCGTTCTATCTCTCTTGCCTCTCGTTCTATCTCTCTTACCTCTCGTTCTATCTCTCTTACCTCTCGTTCTATCTCTCTTACCTCTTGTTACCAATTATTAATATCCAAGAATCAAGAATAATATTTAACCTCTTTAATTATATTGGCTCTGTAAGATGGACGATAAGGATCTAATATTTATGTAATTTACTCAAAAAAAAAAAAAAGTCTCTCTATGGAGGTGATCGATTAATTCCAGAATGAACACTGTGACTCCTGTTGTCTCGGTAGGGTTGTCATAATCCTTCGTCCGTTGTGTCATATTGTCTCACACTAAATCGTTAAGATACTTTTTTTGGAACGAGTGTATATCAAAGGTCACCATCCACACTATAGGCTCCACTTCCTCCTCCCTCTTCCACCTCTTCCTCTTCTTCAACCTCTTCCTCTTCCTGCTCCTCCTCTTCCTTCCCCTCCTCCTCCTCTATGGTGAGTGTTATCTTTACATCTAATTGAAGGAAATATTTGTTGTTTAATGGTAGTGTGTGTGTGTGTGTGTGTGTGTGTGTGTGTGTGTGTGTGTGTCTTAGCTTTTAGACTTCCCTCACTCGTGTAAAGAAACAATAAACATGGTCACGGGCATGAACAGGCTCTCTCACAAGGGCTGTTGGTGATAAGGAGAGAAAAAGAACCAGGTAGACCCGTCGCAGCTGTGGTGGACGTGGCAGAGGTGTGTGGTGATAATGGCCAACACGAGATAAGATACTGCTGTAGTTGGCGGCCAAATACCTGACATTATGCAACCTAACCTAACCTAACCTAACCTAACCTAACCTAACAACTAAACCCAACCTAACGTAACCTAACCTAAAAACCAAACATAACCTACCTAACCTAACTAAGCTAACCGAACCTAACCAAACCCCCACTCAAGCTTAATCCGTAAGCTTAACATTAATCATCCTAGCGCTGACGTTACCTAATCTATCCGAAGCTAAACTAACACTAACTTAATTTAACACTAAGATAACCTAACCTACCCTAATTTACCCAAACATTAACTCAACTTAACCTAACATAAGAACATAAGAACATAAGAATGGAGGAAACTGCAGCGGGCCTATTGGCCCATACTGGGCAGTCCCGTTTACACCCAACCCCTATTGCTCATATAAGCATCCAACCTATGTTTGAAGCTATTCAGCGTATTCGAGTTAATGATGATATTTGGTAACTTGTTCCATTCATCCACTACTCTGTTTCCAAACCAGTGTTTACCTATTTCCCGCCTAAATCTAAATTTCTCTAATTTAAAACCATTGTTACGAGTTCGCTCCTGGTTGGATAGTTTGAGTACCTTTGTAATGTCCCCTTTGTTTAGCCCTGCCTTCCACTTGTACACCTCTATCAGGTCGCCCCTCGCTTTAACCTGTCTCTATACTCAAGGTTCCTAATGCCCGGGATTAGTCTTGTCATTCTCCTCTGAATTCTTTCCAAGGATTCTATATCCATTCTGTAATACGGTGACCAGAACTGAACTGCGTAATCCAGGTGTGGTCTCACAAGAGCAAGATACAGTTTTAGGATGACCTCGCTAGTCTTGTAACTAACACTCCTAATATAAACACCTAATATAAATATAACACCTAATATAAACGAACGAAACCTAACCTAACCCAAAAGAAAGTAAATACGTAAAAACTGACTCAATTCAGAAACACTAAACTGAACCCCCCAAAATTTAACAGCTTCGTCAGTTTTAGTCTGGGGTACAGCTTTTACCCCTCATTGTCCCCTGACCTCTCCTGACCCCTGAGTCTCTAATGTTCCCCAGAGAAACTTGACAATCAAAAAAACATATATATATTTTATTGTGGTGAATTTATTGGTCTCAGTCATACCTAACAAAGCTACTTACCTCTTATCTACTTCTTCAACGCCTCCCACCCCCCCCCCATACTATTAAACACGTAACACTGTCCCACCATACATTAGTACACGTAGCTTGATCAGTACCTGGTTAGCCATCTCTCTCGCTGTTTCAAGACCGTGGATGGTGCGGATGATGCCAGGAGATGCGGTGTGATGAGGGCGGTGATGTGGGCGAGTAGGGTATAGGCGTCAAGGAGTGATTTGGGCCGTCGGCAAGTTTATCACAACAGTATTACGGTTTCTGAGAGGAGATAACCACCGAATTCTCTTCAGCTTATCAGTCAAGGTGTGTGTGAGAGGAAGTTTCTAGAATCGACAGGCTAATACCAGGAGACCGTAGGTGTTCTGAAGGAGGACGCGATTAACAACAACGATTAGAGTCCTCCCTTACCAGCAGCGCCTCTGTTAACTATGGCACCACCTCGTTATCTCACCACATACACACCGAGATTAGATTACATTTAACTGTTTTCTGCTGACGTCAGAGTATCGTATTCTATTAATGCAATTTAGAATGTTGAAATGCAAAAGATGTGAGAGTGGAAAAACAACAAAATATCAATAGATTTTAATCCTGTATGAAACTGTAGTCTCCTTTGATCCTAAGACAAAGATCGTAAGATAAAACACACTTGGAAAATTTTTGTCTTTAGATAAACACAATAAAGAAAATAAAACTAAAAATTAACCATATCTTGCTTAATATTATTTTTTTTTAGAAGAATTATTGTCCAGTATAGAAAATAAGACAGTGTACACAATGTTCCAATACTCTGGTGTACGGGGTCGCCTCTGAGCTCAATAAAATCGTCTGGGGTTAGGAATTAAAACGTTGAAAGTAGTGAAGGGTTTAACATAATTATATACACTAAAACACTACACAAAAACCCACTGTAGAAGATTAAAACTACAGTGGAATTGACGTGTTATGATTTACGTGTTACTAAATAATTTTTACATTAAAATTAATAGAAAAATAGATGAAGAAAAGGAAGAGAAGAGGAACACGAGAAGAAGAAGGAGAAGAGGAGGAGGAGGAGGAGGAATACGAGAAGAAGAAGAAGAAGAAGAAGGAGAAGAAGAAGAAGAAGAAGAAGAAGAGACTCACAAAAAAGCTTTATCTTGCTAAACATCACACAAGGAATTAGTGTGTGTGTGTGTGTGTGTGTGTGTGTGTGTGTGTGTGTGTCTACTTGAGCGTTCATTGCCTGCCTTCAACAAATACTCCCTAACCGACCTTCTTTCCCCCCCACCCCCTCACCTGCTTATAAACTGTCTCAAAATATCACTAAATTAATCAAACTCACTCAAATGATGGGGATTGAAGATGGCGTCGCAATTACACCGAGACTCTACCTTATCTACCTATATCGTGGGTTAATTAATGAGTAAAATAACAGGTAAGATGGTTTGGGTGTCTTGTTGACGGTGAGTGTCGTCTCAGGTAAGCACAGTCATGGGCCACAGTTCCTTTAGCTCACCTGTTGTCTTAGCGGGACCCTCACCTCTCTCTCTCTTTCTCTCATCTCCCTCACTTCCCTCTTCATTCTTCCCCTCCCTTATCTTTCTCATTTCATCCCTTATCTCCTTTACCTGTCTCATTTTCTTCCCTCATATCATCACCTCCCTCACCTTCTTCCGTCATCTCCCTCACCCCTCATCTCCCACAGAAAGGAGCTAGAATTACTAACTGGTCATCCACTCTACAAACTGAACTACTTGCCACACTCACAGCCCTGAAACTTGTTGAAGACACTGCCACTGACAGTCTCATCATCACTGACTCCTTATCCTCACTATTTGCTCAGATTGTCACCCGCTTGTCTCTGAAGTCAAACAAAAGCGTATGTGTCTTGTTGACGGGGTATCAGGATCAAGCTGCTGTGGATCCCCTCTCACACAGGCATTAGCGAACTTGATAGAGTTGATGCCTTAGTGAAACTCGCGTCCAACAATGACAAAGTTGAGTACAATCTGGGACTGTCAAACAGAACCTTATAAACTGTAATCAGGATAAATTTGAAGCCGCAGTAGACAAGTGCAAACAGGTAATAGTCAATCCATTGTTTACCATGATGAGATGTATCAAATAAAACATACATATGGAGCAAGTAACAAGATCACTAGAGTAAAAGATGTAACCGCTAGACCAAGATATAAGTGCCTCTTGCAGTACGCCCCGCAGGCAGATGTGAACAAAACTAAATGTAAAGTGTGTGGCCAGACATATGGCCACACACTCCAACACTACGTCTTAGACTGAAAAATATAACCTTATAGAGATAGATCCAAGCACACTGTGTATGCAATGGCGCAGCACTTTATCTCTGATGATAGATAGCTGATATACTAAGGCTGTACCCACCTAATCAAACTTCTATGTACCGACTTAAAGAAACAATGTAATGGAAATACTCTGTAACATTCATTGCCATAGTATCAATATCAATGGGGTCTGATAAACACCCTTGTGGCCTCTACTCTGTAATCCTTTTTGCGCTACCGCTCACAGGAGGAGGATGGGTTGCACAATAAACTAGCTGCTGTCCGCGGCAAAATTTCAAAAAATTAAATTCCGTCATCTTCCTCACCTGTTACACCTCCCTCACCCCCTCATCCATCTCTCACTTAATAACTACAAAAGTACACACACACACAGTAGAGGCCGATTCATTATGTATGTAAGTGTCTGGCATCATTTAAGTAGACTGATAATGCATGCATATATATTTATAAACAAAGCGAATGCGTATTCATAACACTGCCCTGCATATTTTTTGAGGTTTGTGTATTATTAAGCTTTTCTGGGTGTATTTTGCATGCTGATCTCAAAAATGTTATCCATTTTGCTCAATCAGGTCAGAATTTTGTGCTATAGCATTTTAAGCGGAGATTCAGGTAAAATATTGGCATTTTTCGCTCAAAATGGGGTCCTCATATTCGTTCATTAAAAAATCATCCGAGACATTGGCAAGCCTCACAGAAAAGATTTCGGTCAGTTTTAATGCCCTTACGATGCATTTAAATACACCCACGTGCTCGCCGGCCATTTAAATGTCCGCCGTGACGCAAAGGAAAAGAGTATATGTCCGTGTTTTTTTACATATATTTTTTCACAATTAAATTTCTTTTTCATCTGGTGGTACATGGCATGTTTCCTCTGTCTGTGGGATAGTCGAGCAGACAAGCAGCACTACATGCAACGTGATTGGCCTGCAAGAAGTGGACTTACTCCAGGTTCTCACAATGTTGTTGCCCATGCTCTGGTGAATCCGCAGAACATTCTTCTTCCGCCACTGCACATCAAGCTCGGTCTGTTCAAAAACTTTGTAAAGGCACTGGACAAAAAAAGCCAGGCTTTCAATTTTCTGAAAGAAAAATTTCCAAAAGTCAGTGAGGCAAAGCTGAATGCAGGAATTTTTGATGGCCCTCAGATCAGAGAGCTTTTCAAAGATCCCAAGTTTGATTGCAGCATGGATGTAAATGAGAAGAAAGCCTGGCATGCCTTTAAGTCTATTGTCTCCAATTTTCTTAGCAACTACAGAAGTCCAGAGTATGAACGAGTTGTTGAGGACCTACTTCTGAGCTACAAAGTTCTTGGTGCATGCATGTCCATCAGGATGCACTTCCTCAGCTCCCACTTGGACTACTTTCCAGAGAACTGTGGTGATGTGAGTGAGGAACAAGGAGAACGCTTCCATCAAGATATCCGTGTAATGGAGGAGCGGTACCAGGGTCGCTGGGATATCAACATGCTCGCCGACTACTGTTGGTGTCTGAAACGGGACGCCCCAGACACCAACCACCAAAGAAATTCTCTGCGACAGCCATTTATGCATGTCTAACTGTAAAGGCATCTATGTAGTTGACATATTTTGGTCCTATGTGTTGTGGTTACATTTCTTATGATATATTTTGCATAAAAATTTTGACATCATATTTAAGAATTTCGATTTTTTCCTAATTCCCATAGCATAAAAATCTGACCTGATTGGGCAAAATGAATGGCATTTTTGGAATCAGCACGCAAAATACATAAAGAATCAGCTAAGAAACCCCGCACCTCATGAATTTTTTTTTCAAATGCAGCCCAGTGATAATAGGCAGTCGGTAGGTACCAAACAGGGAAGATATTGGAAGCATAATGTGTTGTCTAATGGTGGACCCTGCTGCCATATGTGACCAAGTCCCAGGTTGATGATCTGAATTTCTGCCTCATTTACACACAGTTGCAGGGTCTCAATTGTTTCTCTTACTTTGACAACACAACATATATATATATATATATATATATATATATATATATATATAATTTCTCACAATTGATCTATTTTAATTTTTAATTTATTTATTTATTATAATTATTATTAATATTATTATTATTATTATTATTATTATTATTATTATTATTATTATTATTATTATTATTATTATTAGTGTTATTGTTGTTGTTGTTGTTATGTTGTTGTTTTGTTGTTAATATTATTATTATTACCATTATCTTATTATTATTATTATCATTATTATTATTATTATTATTATTATTATTATTATCATTATTATTATTATTATTATTATTATTATTATTATTATCATTATTATTATTATCATTATTATTATTATCACCATTATATTATAAAGTACTGTATTATATTTTCATTAATATGTTTTATATTTTTCTTTATTATTTTTTAGTAATGTTTATTATTATTACCCATTATTATTATTATTATTATTATTGTTATTATTATTAATATTATTATTATTGTTGTTGTTGTTGTTGTTGTTATTATCATATGTTCGCTCCCCAGGCCCTGGTGTGGGTCAGTGACCTCTGCCCTGGTGTGGGTCAGTGACCTCTGCCCTGGTGGGTTAATCCCTGAAAAAAAAATCAGGCTGAAGAGTACACATGTGAACGAGGAAACGGCATAACGATCTGTGTGTGTGTGTGTGTGTGTGTGTGTGTGTGTGTGTGTGTGTGTGTGTGTGTGTGTCTTATGTATACCTTAACATAACACAACTCTTTGGCTCATCTCCAACTCACATTATAAACTCCGCCCAGCTAACAAATCCAACCAATGACAGAGTTTCCCTCATATTCATTCACCAATCACTGCCACCTTGATAGGTCCACTTGGCCAATCGCTTTTAAAGTTGGGTCATACGTCATAGCTCTTTAAGTCTCTCATTGGCTAAAAACTACTTGAGGGGAATTTAGCTCAGTGATGTTAAACAGATCGTAAGTTTAGATCCTCAGATAACCTTACGTTAAATTAAAAAAACTTTACTGAGATTAAGTGAATTCATATGGTAATGGTAGAGTCTCAGTGCTATTTGACGCCATTTTGACTACCATATTTATACTAGAACTAGGTCAGTTATCCGGCTAGTACCCCTTGACCTCTCGCACCTCCCTACCAAATTTCGTCTCTATCTCTAAAACTGTGGAGAAAATACACATACACACACGCACGCACGCACGCACGCACGCACGCACACGCACACACACACACAGTGGTAGATGACCTCCCCAGAAGGTCATTCACAGCGACTCGGGTGATTCGTGTGTCAGTCATCTGTTGATTCAGAGAGAGAGAGAGAGAGAGAGAGAGAGAGACGGTTAACGCCAAACGCTGTTGACTGCTCCTACTGGCACGCCTCTCTCTAAGATGGTATAGATAATTTAAATCTATAGTCTTAATACCTGGGAGCCGTGGCAAAGTAAACATCAACGCTCGTCTCTAGTCGTAAGAGTCATTGGTTCTCCGTTGGGTACCCTCAGTCAACACTTTGTCAGGTCTTGGTACTAAATTTACACATCTTGAAAAAAATAAAGTTTACTGCATTAAAACAAAAATATATAACTTAATACTAATCACATATATCCTATCAAACATTAAACACATATATAGTAACTTAATATGGTGCATAAACATTTGTAATTAAAGACGCCAGGGTGGAATGGGGTTGCCAGTTCAGGTTGATGGGACAGCACCCGAGACGTATTTGGTAGGATGGAATTTCCTCTCCATTGTGGGTTTGGGATCACTGTACGAGATTTTAATTCTAGTACAAATAAACACGACTTCAAATTCATCAGTGATAATTGCCTCGAAAGTTACCTGTGACCTCAAACCAAATTAACTATGATTATTCAGCACAGGTATTGTCATCTAACTCAACAAACTCTATTAAATTAAGGTATTTTTTTTAATAATATAAGAGATTAGTTAAAGATTAGCACAAGGATTAGTTGGGTCCTGGTTACCGAGTACCTGTAGTATTTGCTTTTCTTCCACCTGGGATAAAAATGTTCACGCCTTTGGTCCGGTCATTCACCTTTTAAGACACATGCTGTTGTTGCTGTTATTGTGAGAGAGAGAGAGAGAGGGTATTATAGTAGAGAAACAACCAACCATACCCTTATACAAACATACACACACACACACACACACACACAAACATCAAGAACCCTCATCATTGGTAGCAAGGTCACCAACTGGTCGACCTTAATATGACACCGAAAGTGCACTGAGACTATACCGCCTTACCTAGATCTTCCTCTCCACACACAAAAGCGTCAGTACGTCATGAATTTTTTTTTTGGGTGTGTGTAATTTCTTAAATATGAACTAAAACACGAACCACACAGTGAAGAGAAAGATGATGGAGGTGTGTGTGTGTGTGTGTGTGTGTGTGTGAAGTATTGACTTATTGAGGGGGGTGTATACAGTTAGACATAGAAGTGTGAGGAGAGTGGGTCACATGTCACGGAGTGTTTATGGTGGGTTGGTTAACACGAATGATGGACAGTGGGCAGTAGTGGGTAATTAGGTGGGTTGGTGTGTGGATAGAGAGGTGGGAAGGTGGGTGGGTGGGTGGGTGGGTGGGTATAGAGGGATAATGGATGATTTGGATAATGGTGGGTTACACACTGGGGGGATGTGGGAGGGAGGGAGGTGGGTTGGGGAGGTGGGTTGGGGAGGAGGGGGGAGTGGGTTGGGGGGGGAGGTGGGTTGGGGGGAGGGGGGAGGTGGGTTGGGGGGAGGGGAGGTAAGTCAGGCGAGATGTGGATGATAGATGGGCGTAGAAGAACGGGCGATGGGCGTACATGGGCGGACGTTGGGCGTACAAGGGAGGGCGAATGATGGGCGTAAATTGGCAGACGTTAGGCGTACAAGGGCGGGTTACTGAAGGCGACGGTAAATAATGAAAGTGTAGGTGTATAGTAAAATAAACAACCTCTAAACTCAGTCGAATCATGAAAACAAAAACAACAAATAATATAACAAGAGAGATACAACTAAATATAAATTACAGAATAAACGAACAAAAGACAAACAAAGGCGATAATAAAGAAATAAGTATTGTTTTATAGAGATGGAATGAGTATTTAGAAAGCAGGTTAAATGCGAAGAGGTCAAGTGTATTCAGTACGTCAAGTGTGAGTGCGTGTGCGTGTGTGTGTGCGTGTGAGTGCAGTGCTTTAAAGAGTAGCTAGATTGCATTCCTAACCCCTCCTTCCCCCTTCTCTCGAATGAATAAAGACAAATCGGTTTATAGAACGAAACGGTAGAAGCGAGAGAGTGTACAGCGAAGAGCAAGGATCTGACGTTAACGGGATTGTCTTTGGGAAGGAACAGGAGGGTGGTGGTGGTGGTGGTGGTGGTGGTGGTGGTGGTGGTGGTGGTGGTGGTGGTGGTGGTGGTGGTAGTGGTAGTCGAAGCTAGGCCATCATTTCCCAGTTTAGTCGTTCACCTGCCTCCGTCCACACCACACCTGTCCTGGTAGGTGCTCTCTCTCTCTCTCTCTCTTTCACTCTCTCTCTCTTGCTTATTGTATTTAAATTCTCTTTCTATGTCTCTCCTTCTCTCTCTTTATTTTATGTCCTACTGTATTCAATGAGTTATTTGTGCTGTATTACTGTATTTGGTGATTTGTCTGCCCGTGTTTCTTAACTGGTGGTGTGTGAATATATACTTGACTGTCTCACTCAAGTTACGATACAAAGATGGACCTTAATACTGTCAGTTGCCACGATAGACTGGTCTTAATACAGTCAGTTGCATAGACTGTTCTTAATACAGTCAGTTGCCACGATAGACTGGTCTTAATACAGTCAGTTGCCACGATAGACTGGTCTTAATACAGTCAGTTGCCACGATAGACTGGTCTTAATACAGTCAGTTGCCACGATAGACTGGTCTTAATACAGTCAGTTGCCACGATAGACTGGTCTTAATACAGTCAGTTGCCACGATAGACTGAACCTAAGAACATAAGAGCATAAGAATGGAGGAAACTGCAGCGGGCCTATTGGCCCATACTGGGCAGTCCCGTTTACATCCAACCCCTATTGCTCATATAAGCATCCAACCTATGTTTGAAGCAGTTCAGCGTATTCGAGTTAATGATGATATTTGGTAACTTGTTCCATTCATCCACTACTCTGTTTCCAAACCAGTGTTTACCTATTTCGCGCCTAAATCTAAATTTGTCTAATTTAAAACCATTGTTACGAGTTCGCTCATGGTTGGATAGTTTAAGTACCTTTGTAATGTCCCCTTTGTTTAGCCCTGCCTTCCACTTATACACCTCTATCAGGTCGCCCCTCGCTCTACGTCTCTCGAGGGAGTGCAAATTAAGATGCTTTAACCTGTCTCTATACTCAAGGTTCCTAATGCCCGGGATTAGTCTTGTCATTCTCCTCTGGATTTTTTCCAAGGATTCTATATCCATTCTGTAATACGGTGACCAGAACTGAACTGCGTAATCCAGGTGTGGTCTCACAAGCGCTAGATATACAGTCAGTTGCCACAATAGACTGTTCTTAATACAGTCAGTTGCCACGATAGACTGTTCTTAATACAGTCAGTTGCCACGATAGACTGTTCTTAATACAGTCAGTTGCCACGATAGACTGTTCTTAATACAGTCAGTTGCCACGATAGACTGTTCTTAATACAGTCAGTTGCCACGATAGACTGTTCTTAATACAGTCAGTTGCCACGATAGACTGTTCTTAATACAGTCAGTTGCCACGATAGACTGTTCTTAATACAGTCAGTTGCCACGATAGACTGTTCTTAATACAGTCAGTTGCCACGATAGACTGTTCTTAATACAGTCAGTTGCCACGATAGACTGTTCTATATCCTCTGTCTCCTATAACGGGTATTAGAGAGAGAGAGAGAGAGAGAGAGAGAGAGAGAGAGAGAGAGAGAGAGAGAGAGAGAGAGAGAGAGAGAGAGAGAGAGAGAGCCAACAATCGCCTCAGTGACTTTCTTCTTCTGGACAGGTAAAATAATATTGATATGGTAATTAAGAGTCGCAAGTTATGGCACAGAGATACACCTGACTCACCTGATGTAGGTCACCTATGAGTCCAGGGGCCTGTGCTGATGTTACGGTCAAGGGTGACACCAAAACCGGTTCATCAGTCCTTCACTCACTCACTCACTCACTAGATTCTCGGTCACTTACATACTGAAGACTGACTCACCCACTCACCCACTCACTTACTCACTCACTCAGTCACTCACTCACTCACTCACACCAATCTGTCATCGAACTGAAATTGAAACCCAGACCACAATGAAAGATTTTTGACTGACTGACTGACTGACAGACTCACTAAGAGAACTTTTCGTCCGGGTGTCCAAAGAAGACAACAGTAACTAAAATTCTCAGTTTGGGTTATAAATACTCTCAACCTAACCTAACCTAACCTAACCTAACCTAATCATATATTCCCCGTTTGACCTTTAACCTTGAATCCTCCCCTCCTAACCCCCCAAACACACAGCCAATGCATGTTTACTCCCCGGGGTGAGAAGGTTAACCCAATATAATCAGAGGAGAGAGAGAGAGGAGAGAGAGAGAGAGAGAGAGAGAGAGTTTCTTTACAACACAATAGCCAGAGGGAAGGAATGATCCAGCAGAGTACCGTTTTAACCTCTCCTTCTTCGTTCTCACAACAACTCTCCAACTATCTATTTATAAGTCAATATCTATTTATCTGAGTCCACACACACACACAGAGAACAGCCATGTCTGGTATGAATTACATCAAGAGCACGTCATTGAGGTCTTTGTGTGTGTGTGTGTGTGTGTGTGTGTGTGTGTGTGTGTGTGTGTGTGTGTGTGTGTGTGCTTACCTCAGTTCATTTGATCTGAAGATGCGACATAGAAGATGCCCTCAAACAATGGACTGATCTGCTTTTTGTTTTGTTTATTTGTCATCCAGGGTTTGTGTGTGGGTTGGGGTGGGGTGTGGCTGCACTGTGGGTTAGAGGGTGGGGTGGGAAGTGGGTGTGTGTGTGTGTGTGTGGGGTTGGATGGGTGGGCTGCACTGGGGTTAGAGGGTGGGTGGGGAGGGTGTATGTGTGTGTGGGTTGGATGGGGTGGGTCGCACTATGGGTGGAGGGTGGGTGAGGTCTGGTCTTCTGTGTGTATAGATTGGTGTAGGGTGTGGCGTTATGGGTTGAGGAGAGATGGCAATGTCGATAAGAGATGGTGTGAAGGGTGTGGCGTTATGGGTTGAGGAGAGATGGCAATGTCGATAAGAGATGGTGTGAAGGGTGTGGCGTTATGGGTTGAGGAGAGATGGCAATGTCGATAAGAGATGGTGTGAAGGGTGTGGCGTTAAGGTGGGTTGAGGAGAGATGGCAATGTCGATAAGAGATGGTGTATGGTGTGGCGTTATGGGTTGAGGAGAGATGGCAATGTCGATAAGAGATGGTGTGAAGGGTGTGGCGTTATATGGGCAAGGGAGAGGTGGCTGTAGAAAGGGGGGGTGGGGTTGGAGGGGTCATTGGCCTATAGGAGTTAAGAGGCACAAACCTGTTATTTACCTTCTGACCCACACAGGTAAACTAGCTGTAACCAAATTTACCCTGTCTGGTGTACCTTTGTGATAGTTGTTGTTGGTGTGGTTGTTGTAGCGGTTGTTGTTGTAGCGGTTGTTGTTGTAGTGGTTATTTTTGTTGTTTTTGCCGTGGGTGTCCGGTCAGAGTAACCATTTTTAAGCATATATAACCGGACATTAACCGATTTTCTGAGCATTTCTATACTCAGACACCGGTTTTCCTGAAGGGTAAACACCAGTCAGTGATTCATTATGACCAGTTACTGATATAACTGTGTGGAGAATAATCATCTCTTCCTAATTGACTGAGGGACACAAACACACACACACACACACACACACACACACACACACACACACACACACACACACACACACATGTAAATAACACAGTCAAGGCAGCCTCGTACCGTCTCTACATGCTACGAAGACTTAGGTCACTTGGGACACCCACGCCAGAGCTGAGGACCATCTTCAACGCATTTATTCTCCCCAAACTAACGTATGCGTCACCAGCCTGGTCGTCTTCTCTCAACTTCACCCAACAACGTCAGCTAGAGAAGGTACAGAAAAGGGCCTGCAGAGTCATGCTCGGCGCAGAATACTCCGGCTACATCAATGCTCTCTCCACCCTGGAAATGCCATCCCTCAGTGACCTCCACCACCAAGCACTGGAAAGGTTTGGCAGCCAACTAATGCACCACCCTCGTCAACGCCACCTCCTGCCACCGGCAGCCCACCCACCCACCTCGCGCAGTCCGCCACTAAAACAAAATTCAGCCCATAAGAGCCCGCACCGATAGATATAAGAACAGCACCATCCCATCTATCGTTAAAATAATAAACAACTCCTGATTTATGTACTGTACAGCCCTGTAAATGTATTCAATGCATATTATATCATTATGTCTAAATTAAATGTAAGTCTGTATATTTTCACCCACCGGCTGCAACTCTATCAATAAACAGTTTATTATTATTATTATTATTATTATTATTATTATTATTATTATTATTATTATTATTACACACACATAAAAATTTGCATACACACGCCTACAACCAGACACATAATCACGAACCTGTTCTCTCTCTCTCTCTCTCTACTTGATTATCTGCATTATTCTTGTTTCTTTAGACAAGTTTATCAGGATGGATGGATAATAATAATAATAATAATAATAATAATAATAATAATAATAATAATAATAATAATAATAATAATAATAATAATAATAATAATAATAATAATAATAATAATAATAATAATAATAATAACAAAAATAATAATACCCCAAATTTTACCAAAGATTGCACAAAATATTACATAACAAAATATACAAAACAATATATATCACTTCTTTATTAACTATCTAACTCAACTTTACTTTCTATGTAACCCCCAAAAAATCACATCAATAACTCAAAAGCTGTGTTTCTATTCCACAGACCCAGAGGACGAAAGATAACAAGTTCATCCCACAGTTAACTTCACTACACCCGGGTTCAGCTGAGGTCACACCCCTCGATGGAAGGAGATATGTGGTGTAGGGTGATGGTGGTGATGATGGTGGTAGCCAGGGTCACACAGGCGTTCCCTCGTCAACCTGTTGTCGACTATTCTGGGTAGGTTGTGTGCTCCGAGAGAGAGAGAGAGAGAGAGAGAGAGAGAGAGAGAGAGAGAGAGAGAGAGAGAGAGAGAGAGAGAGAGAGAGAGAGAGAGAGAGAGAGAGAGAGAGAGGGATATATACAGTAACAGTTCTTATTCATAAACACCAAATGAAACTTAAAGAACAAATGCTGTACACAAGGCACCTTACTTAAGAGTTCTGAACACACCTGAACACTAACCTAACCTAACCTAACCTAACCTAACCTAACCTAACCTAACCTAACCTAACTTAACCTAACTTGACCACGAGGGTACAGCAATTCAATGGTGCAATGGTAGTGTTACAGTGGCATAATGAGACATATTAAATAATTATGTCCCACTGTATGTCTGTCCCATTAGATATGTCCCACTGTATGTCTGTATCATTGGCTATGTCCCATTAGATATGTCCCACTATATGTCTGTACCATTAGATATGTCCCACTGTATGTCTGTACCACTAGATATGTCCCACTGTATGTCTGAACCATTAGATATGTCCCACTGAATCATTTGTCTTACTGCATTACCTGTACTGTAGATTGGTTGACACACTGTAGACAAGTTCTCTACATAGGGTGAGAGTATCTACATAGGTACCTCTCTATACACACCTTTGTTAATTTCCAGGTGGCAGGTGTTGGAGGTGGAGGTGAGTGAGGTAGGGTCAGGTGAACAGCCGAAGGTGCAGCTACAGGACTTGGATGACACCTTTAATCTACAGTTCCTCCATCAGGATAGACGACGAGGTGGGTGTAGTGTGGTGGTGTGGTATAGTGGTGTGGTGTAGTTATGGTAGTGTCTAGTAATGTGGTGTATGTGGTGTGTGTGTGTTGTGTCTAGGAATGTAATGTGGTGTGGTAGTTGTGGTAGTGTGGTATGGTGTAGTAATTGTGTGGTAGTGTCTAGTAATGTAATGTGGTGTGGTGTGTAATGTGGTGTGTGGTATAACCATAGTGTGTGGGAAGGATGTGGTAACAGAAACAGTCAACATGTGTCATTAGTTATCATGTAATTCAAGTTTTCGTTTCTGGATTTGTATTTGTGTTTTAACGTAAGGATGTTCGTTGTGTCAGGGGTGGCGGAGGTGGCATTGTCTCCAGCTTTCCTGACAGACTTCACTCAGTACCTCAACAACAACAACGTTAAATCTACCATCATCATCGACGACCTGGGCAAGTGAGTACAAAGTGTTCTTCTGTTTACTGTTGGCCTGTGGTGGCGCTTTCTGTGGTGCTTTGAGTGACCAAGAGTGTGTTTAGTGAAGATCAAATTTTATGATTAAATACACTAATGCCTTCGCGCCCTCCCCCACAAGATAAATAAAATATAAAAAATTATAGTATATAGAAAATACTAGAATTGTTGAAGTTACCCCTCCAATAAGTTAACCGTTATAAAAGAAAATGAAAAAGAATAGAACAGTAACTTAACTAATAGTGTACATTCCCTCCCAAAAAGACCTAACATCCCTAGAAAAGGTGCAACACAGATTGACTAAGAAGGTTCTAAACTGTAGCATCTCGATTATCAAGTAGACTAAGGGCCTTAGGACTAACAACCCTTCAGACATGGCAACAAGTGAACCCGGGCCATTTTTTTTGTGATTACTTGTGGTACCAACAGGAGGGAACACAACTACAAGCTCGCCAAAATGTCATGAAGGGCGAAAAGAAGGAAAACTACTTCACACAGAGGCTGGTAGACGTTAAGATACTCAATAAATAATATACAATTTAACAGATTCAAAGAGAGAGAGAGAGAGAGAGAGAGAGAGAGAGAGAGAGAGAGAGAGAGAGAGAGAGAGAGAGAGAGAGAGAGAGAGAGAGAGAGAGAGAGAGAGAGAGAGAGAGAGAGAGAGAGAGCATCTTTCCTACATTAATTGTCGCTGGTATTTATCGACCCACAGAAAACTCAAGTCAGACATTCCCTTTCTCCGCGCTGAGTCCGACCTTATGGGCGCTGTCACCTTCGACCGATTCATGAAATACGAAGAGGTAAGTTCCTCCCTCTCCTCCTCCACCACTAGTACCTCCTCCTCCACCAACTGTACCTCCTCCACCACCTATATCCTCCTCCACCGCCTGTACTCCTCCTCCTCCACCATCTGTGTACCTCCTCCTCCTCCACCACCTGTACCTCCTCCACCACTAGTACCTCCTCCTCCACCACCCATATCTCCCTCCTCCACCGCCTGTACCTCCTCCTCCTCCACCACCTGTACCTCCTCCTCCACCGCCTGTACCTCCTCCTCCACCACCTGTACCTCCTCCACCACTAGTACCTCCTCCTCCATCACCTGTACCTCCTCCTCCACCACCTGTACCTCCTCCCTCCACCACCTGCACCTCCTCCTCCACCACCTGTACCTCCTCCTCCACCACCTGTACCTCCTCCTCCACCACCTGTACCTCCTCCTCCACCACCTGTACCTCCTCCACCACCTGTCCACCACTAGGCCTCCTCCACCACCTGTACCTCCTCCACCACCTGTACCTCCTCCTCCACCACCTGTACCTCCTCCTCCACCACTAGTACCTCCTCCTCCACCACCTGTACCTCCTCCTCCACCACCTGTACCTCCTCCTCCACCACTAGTACCTCCTCCTCCACCACCTGTACCTCCTCCTCCACCACCTGTACCTCCTCCTCCACCACCTGTACCTCCTCCTCCACCACCTGTACCTCCTCCTCCACCACTAGTACCTCCTCATCCAACCTTCTATTCAGTTCCCCATTGGACGTCTTTCATCAATCTTCTATTCAATATATATATTTTTTGGTGTCTTCGGTTTTATTATCAGTATTTTCGTTATTTTCGTCTTTTGATTGACACTTTAATATCGTCACCTGCAGATCCTGGAATACCTGAAGGAGTTACCGCGTCAGTATCCCGACCGAGTGAGGCTGGAGGAGGTGGGTCACAGTGTAGAGAGCCGACCTATCCACCTCCTGGTTATCTCATCCGACGTCCACTCCTCGTCCACCGCCAACAAACCCGTCATATTAATCGATGGAGGTGATTCACGCATCATCCGAGTGTTTGTAAACAATCATTCCGAGATACATGTTGCTTTAATCCTGGTTTTGTTCTTGTTATGTCTCTCTCTCTCTCTCTCTATTTCTCTGTCTCTCACACTATTTTCTTTGTCTCTCTCTCTCTCTATTTCTCTGTCTCTCACACTATTTTCTTTGTCTCTCTCTCTCTCTATCTTAAAGTGTGCCAATAACACCCTCCCCATCTGACTCAGGTATCCACGCTAGAGAGTGGGTCAGCCCAGCAGCGGTTCTGTACATCGTGGAACAGCTGCTACAGTCGCCCGCGATGACCAGTGACGTGGAGTGGCGCACTTTGCCTTTACTTAACCCTGATGGCTATATTTACACCTGGACTAAAGTGAGTTATCTCTCTCTCTCTCTCTTTATTCATCAGCTGATTTCTGTCATTAGATAAATCGTTTCTATTTAACATAACTGGATCAAACTATGCATCACGGTCCAGCCGAGATGTATGTATGTATGTATGTATGTATGTATGTATGTATGTATGTATGTATGTATGTATGTATGTATGTATGTATGTATGTATGTATGTATGTATGTATGTATGTATGTATTTATCTTTTACTCCTACAGGATCGACTATGGAGAAAGAACAGAGCCACAACTTCAGAAATAGGATGTGTAGGAGTTGATCTCAACCGTAACTTCGGATTTCACTTTGGAGGTGAGTGAGTGAGTGAGTGAGTGAGTGAGTGAGTGAGTGAGTGAGTGAGTGAGTGAGTAAGTAAATGAACAACAATGAATATAAAATGAATATAAAACACATTAATAAATATCTTTTTTTATCCGTATGAAAAATAAAATATATATATTTTTTACTATTTTTTTTGTTTTTAGCTAATTCATTAACTCATCCACGCCCCTAGAGTCAGGAACCAGCCCTAAGCCTTGCTCCACAGTCTACCACGGACCCGTTGCCTTCAGCGAGCCAGAGTCCCAAGCCCTTAGAGACACCCTACAGCAGGAGAGCAGTCGTACCAAGGTCAGGTGTGGGTGGGTGTGGAGAAGTGGTGGTCAGGTGTGGGTGGGTGTGGAGGGGTGGTCAGGTGTGGGTGGGTGTGGAGGGGTGGTGGGTGTGTGGGTGAGGATAGTGGGGGTAGAGGTGAATGTGTAAGTAGCAGGGGGGGAATGGCAAGCAGTAGGCGTGTACAGGGATTAACCAAGGCGTGTATGAGGCGCTAACAAGGGTACGTGTGGGAAGTAGAGGTGCGTGTATGAGGGTATACAAAAGAGACGTAGAATTTGATCTGGCGTGGGTAGGAAGTAACGAGGCGTGTGTGTTGTCCGTTGCAGGCGTACGTGACCTTCCATTCCTACGGACAGTTCGTGTTGCATCCATGGGGCTATACTGACAAGGTCTCCAAGAATAACATCAACGAGCTGGTAAGTACTGTCTCTGTGTGTACTGTTTGTGTGTACTGTCTCTGTGTGTACTGTCTATGTGTACTGTCTCTGTGTACTGTTTGTGTGTACTGTCTCTGTGTACTGTCTCTGTGTGTACTGTTTATGTGCACTGTCTCTGTGTACTGTCTCTGTGTGTACTGTCTCTATGTGTACTCTCTGTGTGTACTATCTGTGTGTACTGTCCCTGTGTGCTGTTTATGTGTGCTGTCTCTGTGTGTGCTGTCTGTGTGTGCTGTCTCTGTGTAATGTCTGTGTGTAATGTCCTGTGTGCTGTCCTGTGCTGTTTATGTGTGATGTCTGTGTTATTTGTGTTTATGTGTACTGTATATGTGTACTGTCTGTTGCTGTCATGTGTACTGTCTCTGTGTGTGTGCTGTGTATGTGTACTGTATATGTGTATCTGTCTGTGTGTAATGTGTGTGTACTGTCCTGTGTACTGTCCTGTGTACTGTCTGTGTACTGTCTGTGTGTGATGTCTGTGTGTACTGTCCCTGTACTGTCCTGTGTACTGTTTATGTGTAGTGTCTCTGTGTGTCTGTCTATGTGTGCTGTCTCTGTGTAATGTCTGTATGTACTGTCCTGTGTGTGCTGTTTGTGTGTGCTGTCTTGTGTTATGCTGTCTGTGTACTGTCCCTGTGCTGTCCCTGTGTACTGTTTATGTGTACTGTTTATGTGTGCTGTCTCTATGTGTGCTGTCTGTGTGTATGTCTGTGTGTATTGTCCTGTACTGTCCTGTGTACTGTCTCTATTGTGTACTGTCTGTGTAATGTCTGTGTGTACTGTCCCTGTTACTGTCCTGTACTGTCCCTGTACTGTCCTGTGTACTGTTTTATGTAATGTCTCTGTGTGTACTGTCTGTGTACTGTCTCTGTGTAATGTCTTGTGTGTACTGTCCTGGTACTGTCCTATGTACTGTTTATGTGTACTGTCTGTGTACTGTCTTGTGTAATGTCTGTGTGTACTGTCCTGTGTGCTGTCTATGTGTACTGTTTATGTGTACTGTCTCTGTGTACTGTCTGTGTGTACTGTCCTGTGTACTGTTCTATTGTACTGTCTCTGTGTGTATATCTGTGTGTTACTGTCCCTGTGTACTGTCCTGTGTACTGTTTATGTATCTGTCTCTGTGTACTGTCATAATTGTACTGTCCCTGTACTGTCTGTGTGTCTGTTTATGTGTGCTGTCCTCTGTGTGTACTGTCTGTGTACTGTCCCTGTGCTGTCTATGTGTACTGTATATGTGTACTGTCTGTGTGTATGTCCTGTGTACTGTCTGTGTACTGTCCTTGTGTACTGTCTGTGTGTGCTGTCTGTGTGATGTCTCTGTGTACTGTCCTTGTGTACTGTCCTGTGTACTGTTTATATGTGTACTGTCTCTGTGTGTGCTGTCTGTGTGTACTGTCCTGTGTACTGTCTGTATGTGTACTGTCTCTGTGTGTACTGTCTGTGTACTGTCCCTGTACTGTTTATGCTGTCTCTGTGTGTACTGTCTGTGTACTGTCTCTTTGTGTAATGTCTGTGTGTACTGTCTTGTGTTTTTGTTTGTGTTTTTTGTTTTTGTTGTTTTGTGTTGTTGTTGTTTTGTTTTTGTGTGTTTTGTGTGTTGTCCTGTGTACTGTTTATGTGTACTGTCCTGTGTACTGTTTATGTATGGGTCTCTGTGTGTACTGTCTGTGTACTGTCCTGTGTACTGTCTTATGTGTGTCTCTGTGTGTAATGTCTGTGTTTTACTGTCCTGTGTACTGTTTATGTGTACTGTCTCCTGTTGTTGTGTACTGTTTATGTACTGTCTTTGCTGTTTGTGTGTACTGTCTGTGTGTACTGTCCTGTGTACTGTCTATGTGTACTGTCTCTGTGTGTAATCTGTGTGTACTGTCTGTGTGTACTGTTTATGTGTATAATGTCTGTGTGTACTGTCTTTTGTGTGTATCTCTGTGTGTGCTGTCTATGTGTGTACTATCTGTGTGTAATGTCTGTGTGTACTGTCTCTGTGTACTGTCCTATGTACTGTCCTGTATACTGTCTCTGTGTGTACTGTCTCATGTAATGTCTGTGTGTACTGTCTGTGTGCTGTCTCTGTGTACTGTCTCTGTGTGTACTGTCTCTGTGTGTGTCTGTGTGTGCTGTCTGTGTGCTGTCTGCCACTGTCTCTGTGTGCTGTCTGTAGTGTGCTGTCCCTGTGTACTGTTTATGTGTACTGTCTCTGTGTGCTGTCTCCTGTGTGTGCTGTCTCTGTGTACTGTCTCTGTGTGTGCTGTCTCTTCTGTGTGCTATCTCTGTGTAATGTCTGTGTGTATTACTGTCCTGTGTGCCTGTCTGTGTACTGTCTCTGTGTGCTGTCTTGTGTGTACTGTCACAATATGCCTGTGTCTCATGTACTGTTTTGTGTGTACTGTCTCTACATGTGTGCTGTCTGTGTGTATCCTGTGTACATCACATATACTGTCTGTATGTGCACATCTGTGTGTACTATCCTTGTGTGCTGTCCCTGTGTGCTATTTATGTGTACTGTCTCTGTGTGTGCTGTCTGTGTGTGCTGTCCTGTGTATCTGTGTGTGCTGTCTCTGTGTGTACTTGTCTGTGTGTACTGTCACATGTACCTGTTTATGTACTGTCTCTGTGTACTGTCTGTGTGTGCTGTCCCTGTGTACTGTCTATGTGCTGTCTCTGTGTGTACTGTCCTGTGTGCTGTCCTGTGTACTATTTTATGTGCTGTCTCTGTGTGTACTGTCTGTGTGTATGTCCTGTGCTGTTTATGTGTACTGTCCTGTGTACTATCTGTGTGTACTGTCTCTGTATGCCTGTCTATGTATGCTATCTCTATGTATACTGTCTCTTATGTATTACTGTCCTAATATGCTGTATCTCTCTGTGTATAATGTCTGTATGTACTGTCTCTGTGTACTGTCCACCAATATTACTGTTTATGTGTACTGTCCTATGTACTGTCTATGTGTACTGTCTCTGTGTACTGTCTGTGTACTGTCCCTGTGTACTGTTTATGTGTACTGTCTCTGTGTGTGCTGTCTCTGTGTGTACTGTCTCTGTAGTAGCCCTGTCTGTGTGTAATGTCTGTATGTACTGCTCCTGTGTACTGTTTATATGCTGTCTCTGTGTGTGCTATCTGTGTGTGCTGTCCTGTACTGTCTGTATACTGTCTCTGTGTGTACTGTCTCTGTGTGTACTGTCTCTGTGTGTACTGTCTGTGTGTAATGTCTGTGTGTCTGTCCCTGTATACTGTTTATATGTGCTATCTCTGTGTATACTGTCTGTGTATGCTATCTGTATGTAATGTCTGTGTGTACTGTCCCCTGTGTACTGTCCCTGTGTACTGTTGCCTGTACTGTCTCTGTGTGCTATCTGTGTGTAATGTCTGTGTGTACTGTCCCTGTGTACTGTCTGTGTACTATTTATGTACTGTCTCTGTGTGTACTGTCTGTGGCCCTGCTGTCTGTGTGCTCTGTGTGTACTGTCCTGTGTGCTGTTTATGTGTACTGTCTCTGTGTGTACTGTCTGTGTGTACTGTCTGTGTGTAATGTATCTGTATTAGCCTGTCCTGTGGCCTGTTTATGTACTGTCTCTGTGTGTAATGTCTGTGTACTGTCTGTGTACTGTTTATATTATACTGTCCCCTGTGTACTATCTCTGTGTACTGTTGTGTGTGTACTGTCTGTGTGTACTGTTTTGTGTACTGTTTCTGTGTGTACTGTTTCTGTGTGTACTGTGTCTGTGTGTACTGTCTCTGTGTGTACTGTTTCTGTGTGTGCTGTTTCTGTGTGTACTGTTTCTGTGTGTACTGTCTGTGTGTACTGTCTGTGTGTCTGTGTGTCTGTTTGTGTGTACTGTTGTCTGTGTGTACTGTTTCTGCTTGTGTTGTCTGTGTGTACTGTTGTCTTGTGTCTACTGTTGTTCTGTGTGTGTATGTTGTCTGTGTATGTTGTCTGTGTTGTACTGTTGTTTTCTCTGTGTGTACTGTTGTCTGTGTCTTGTGTCTGTTTGTATATTTCTCTGTGTGTGTACTGTCTTATGTGTGTACTGTCTGTGTGTCTGTAGTATTGTCTGTTGTGTACTGTGTGTGCTGTTTCTGTGTGTAATGTCTGTGTGTACTGTCCGTGTGTACTGTTTTGTAGCATACTGTCTGTTCTGTGTATACTGTCTGTGTGTACTGTCTGTGTGTAATGTCTGTGTGTACTGTCTGTGTGTACTGTTGCTGTGTACTGTTTATGTGTACTGTTTCTGTGTGTACTGTTGTCTGTGCTGTCTGTGTGTACTGTTGTCTGTACTGTCTCTGTGTGTACTGTTGTCTGTGTGTACTGTCTGTGTGTAATGTCTGTGTGTACTGTTGTCTGTGTGTACACGCCTTGCTCTGTTTTTGTGTGCTGTTCTCTGTGTGTACTGTCTGTGTGTATGTCTGTGTGTACTGTTGTCTGTGTGCTGTTGTCTGTGTGCTGTTGTCTGTGTGTACTGTCTGTGTATACTGTCTGTGTGTACTTGTCTGTGTTTTACTGTCCTCTGTGTACTGTTTTGTGATCTCTGTGTGTACTGTCTGTGTGTGCTGTCTGTGTGTATGTCTTGTGTGTACTGTTGTCTGTGTGTACTGTTTTGTGTGTACTGTTTCTGTTTTTGTCTGTGTGTATTGTCTCTGTGTACTGTTTCTGTGTGTACTGTTCTGTGTACTGTCTCCATGTGTACTGTCTGTGTGTACTGTTGTCTGTGTGTAATGTCTGTGTGTGTCTGTGTGTCTGTGTGCACATTTTGTGTGTACTGTTGTGTCTGTGTGTACTGTCTGTGTGTGCTGTCTGTGTTATGTTGTCTGTGTGTACTGTTGCTGTGTGCTGTTGTCTGTATGCCTGTTGTCTGTGTGTATGTCTGTGTGTACTGTCTGTGTGTACTGTTTTGTGTGTACTGTTGTCTGTGCTGTCTCTGTTGTCTGTGTATGATATCTGTATGTGTGTCCCTGTGTACTGTTTTGTCTGTGTGTACTGTTGTCTGTGTGTACTGTTCTGTGTGCTGTCCCTGTGTACTGTTTGTGTGTACTGTTTCTGTGTATGTGTCTGT